AAGCAGTAATAAAAAAGATTCTTGTGCAAGAAGGAAAAAACGTACAAGTAGGTGATGTAGTATTAGATAGCTGTCCATAAAATGAATTGACATAAAGCTGCTATATTTTTAATATTTATCTATTAATTTTTTAAAGCGTGAAAGAACAAAAATGCTTATTTGTTACCATTGCTGGGCTACCCAATGCTGGTAAGTCCACACTAATTAATAGCATTATAGGTAAAAAAATTGCAATTGTAACCCCTAAGGCACAAACAACAAGAACGAAAATAAGAGGAATTGCAATTTGTGGTTATACACAAATCGTTTTTACCGATTCTCCAGGAATCTTTACAGCAAAAACTCAACTTGAAAAAGCTTTAGTTAAATCCGCATGGTCAGCAATTAAAGATAATGACAGAACCTTACTGCTTATCGATGTTAAAAGTTATCTACGGAATATAGAAAAAATTAAGGCTATGCTTGTCAAGTTGCAGCATAGTTGCATTTTAATTCTTAATAAAATTGATCTAATAAAAAGGCCTGAATTAAAAATGGCATATAAATATTTCAATCTATTATATAAATTTGAAAAAATTTTCATGATATCAGCGTTAAAAAATGATGGACTTTTTGATTTAATAAATTATTTATCTGAATTTGCACCAGTTGGTCCTTGGCTCTATCCAGAAGATCAAGCAACAGACTCATCGAATGATTTTTTATCAGCAGAAATCACACGAGAAAAACTATTTTTGAACCTGCATCAAGAATTACCCTACTCTACAGCAGTTATCACTGAACAATTTGAGAAGAAGAAGGATAAAAGTTTAATTATAAAGCAGGTTATATTTGCCTTAAAAGAAAGTCATAAAAAAATAATTTTAGGAGAAAGTGGTAGTAATATAAAAAAAATTAATATTGAGGCACGTAGCGAGCTAGAGAAAATATTTGAACAGAAGGTACATCTTTTTTTATTTGTAAAAATACGGCCTTGGAGCGATCATCCTGAGGAATATCTTGTTTAAACTATCAAGGTGATGGCTTGAGTTTAGCGCTT